AAGCACTCAATCGACGTCGTCGCATGCGCCGAGATACCCATTTCCCTGGAGCTTGGCTTGCCGAAGCCCTGCAAAGACGGGTGCGAAGCTCTAAATCGTAGTCTTACTTTCGGCATCGCCTTCCCGCCCAGCCTTTGCCCAGTCACCGGCTGGTGATAAGACGGGCATTGCGAAATAGTCCCTTGATGCTGTATGGGTCAACCGCCGGCTTGGGCTACTAGCTAGATTCCACCAATTCCTGGAAACGAGGGTGGAGTGTATCCACATAGGACACCTGCTCGAAAGAGAGACAGTCAAGGAATACCAAGACGGCGCTTGGGATGAGCAGATTTGCCGCTTCTGTGTCACTTTAAGGATGCTATGAGTATAATTGCGGTCGTGTGCCCAACCCTTGCGGTTCAGCAGCAGCTCATTCTTTTGCACCGCCCATCTTTTTCCGTGCCTGCTAATCATGTCGGCTAACGCTGCCTCGAACGCCGTGGACATGGCCATGTCTAACGAGCCTAACAAGGCTGCCATGCCTTTGTACGAAGTCGACGAGAAGCGTGCTCTTTCGGACGACCACACGCCGTCGACTCTCAGCCACCAGCCTCATGGCGCTGATGTCTTCGAGGCCGACTTGGAAGGCGAAGAGCCTACGGAAGATGAGTTGAAAACACTCCGCCGTGTATCTGGAAAGATCCCGTGGACTGCCTTCACCATCGCCTTCGTCGAGCTTTGCGAGCGTTTCGGTTACTACGGATGTCAGGTTTTGTGTATGTTGTCGCTCATCTCTACAGAAGGATCAACCCACTGACTATTTCGAAGACACCAACTTCATTCAACAGGACCTGCCTGTGATTGATGGTGTTCCGCAAACCACTGGCAAGGATCCTCGTTCAGAGGGTCAACCAGGCGCCTTGGGCATGGGACAGCGTGCATCCTTCGGTATCGGTCAATTCAACTCTTTCTGGGCTTACAGCACACCCATTATCGGTGCCATTATCGCCGACGAGTACCTTGGTCGCTTCAACACCATCTTCATCGCCATCGCCTTCTCTATCCTGGGTCACATTCTGCTCATCATCTCCGCCATTCCCGCTGTCCTCACCAGCGGCAATGCCATCGGTCCTTTCATCCTAGGTGTCATCACCCTCGGTTTCGGTACCGGAGCTTTCAAGGCCAACATCTCGCCCTTGATCGCTGAACAATACCGCCAAACCAAGCCCCGTGTCATCAAGGACCCCAAGACTGGCGAGCGCGTCATCTCTGACCCCAACATCACGCTCTCTCGTATCTTCTTGTGTATGTTGTCCCCAATGTGATGTTGTAAGCAATTTACTAACATACTCCCAGACTTCTACATGTTCATCAACATTGGTTCCCTCACCGGACAAATCTCCATGGTCTACGTTGAGAAGTACGTCGGCTTCTGGTGTGCGTGGCTGCTACCCACCATCATGTTCTGTTTCTGCCCCGTCGTCCTTTGGGTCTGCAGGAACAAGTACATCCGCACTCCCCCCACTGGCTCCGTCCTCATCCGCGCCTTCAAGGTCTTGAAGCTCGCCACCAAGGGCAAGTGGTCTCTCAACCCTGCGACTACGCGCAAGAACTTCAAGAGCGAGCGATTCTGGGAGGACGTCAAGCCCAGCCACCTCGGTGCCAACAAGCCCTCCTGGATGCAGTTTGACGACGCTTGGGTTGACCAGGTTGCTCGTGGCCTGCGCGCGTGCTCTTGCTTCACCTGGATTCCTCTTTACTGGTTGAGCTACAACCAGATGAACAACAACCTCACGTCGCAGGCCGCCACTATGACCCGTAACGGTGTTCCCAACGATGTCATTACCAACCTCAACCCCATCTCCCTGGTCATCTTCATTCCCATCGTTGACAACTTCCTCTACCCCGCTCTCCGCAAGGCAAACATCCGCTTCACCCCCATCAAGCGTATCGCTTTCGGTTTCATCCTCGCATCTTTCGCCATGGTTTCCGCTGCCGTCATCCAGCACTACATCTACGCCGAGGGCCCTTGCGGCGAATACATGAACAGCTGCGACGACCCAGCCCCGATCAACGTCTGGACCCAAGCCGTGCCCTACATGCTTGTTGGTTTCTCCGAGATCTTCACGTCGATTACTGGACTCGAATTTGCATTCACAAAAGCACCCAAGAACATGCGTTCGCTAGTAACTTCGTACTGGCACTTCATGTCCGCCTTCTCGAACGCGCTTGGTCAGGCGTTTGTGTCGCTGTCCGAAGATCCATTGTTGGTCTGGAACTACACAACTGTTGCTATCTTGGCGTTCATCGGTGGCATCCTCTTCTGGTTCCATCAGCGCAAGACTGACAAGCAGGAGGATATTCTTAACATGCTTCCGGACTCCAACTACATGGGCAAGGACCGAAGGCATAGTGTTGCTGGTGCTGAGGAGGCTATCGCTGGCCACAATGTTGAGGCGCATGTTCGCACCCAAACATGATCGCGCGCGGTACATTGCTATATGTTGTTGTCAATGAGAGCAGCTGACAAAATTGGCTGTATGTAAGGAGCTGTCATGATCGAAGATACCTATTTAGCTTGAAACGAGTTCAAACATGAGACTTCCAATCAGCTAGTGTAACTCCTCTTCCTTATCTGCTTCGCCCCGTGAACTATGCATCGTCTGCACGTTTGTCAACATCTGCATACGGTCATCATAGCCATGTATTTCCCAATCGCGGTGCTGGCGGTGACATGCTAGGTCTTATCGTGGCACGAGACGACCTGCACGACGTTCAATGGGCTCGACGGGATTATGCCAAACCACTCATACGAGATTGAGAGCGCAGGATCAAGCATGGCGTACATACCATTCCCAACAAGATTAATCAAAAGTTAAGCATGATAGAAAGTCGTTTGTGCGTGCGTCATTTACGGAGTGAACATTGGCTTTCGCAATTGGATATCTAGCCTGAACTCTCCATCGGCAGGCAGCCCAACATGGGCCATTGTGCGCATAATCCGTCGCTGCTTATTCAAAGCTTCAACCCTTGGCTAGATTGTTGTATGACGAAGAAAGGCTTCATCGTTTTGACTACCTCCTTCCTGACTATATTGTGGCCCGCGCTTGTTGTCCCCATGTGATGTGAATGCAGGTGATTTTACGAGTACGCAATAAGCTGAGCGTGTACATGATACAGGCACTGCTAGGTACGATTCGAAGTCATTCATGACATTTGAAGTGTATTGCTTTGACATGCACGTTGTGCCGAATTTGGTAGGCTCGATCGTCAATGATGACATTCGCATGTGTTAAGTCTTGCATGACATGGTGATATGATCCTGAAAGTGTTGTGTGCTCAAGCCTCGTCAAGAGTGTTCGCCTCATTGGTATCAACGTAGTCCTTCATACATCGTTCCGGACGGTATTCGGTGTACTTGACCACGGTAACAATACTGGTGGGCAACTGCTCGTAGACAGGCACAGGCTCCTCGCCCTGCATTACAGTGGGAAGTTCGCACTCCATGTCGTCCCAGCACTTCTCCGGCAAGTCATGCTCCGGGTTCCTGCTGGGACACTTGTAATCTCCTTGGCTCGGAATCTTTGCTTCGATGCATGAGACAAGCTCGAAGTCATTGGAAGGGAACGGGTCTCGACTAGGCGGTATCATCAACCTCCTCCTGACCTCAGTTTCATGAATCGTATGGGATATTTCGGGACGAGGACTTGTATGGATCCATGCGTGATTATCGAAGCTTTTGCTTATAGGATTCAGCTGACCTGGGTGTATCTCCATTTTGTATCCAGTCTTAATAACCTCCAGAAACTTTTTCTGCTTGATCCATTCCTGCAACTCCGGGAGGCCGAAGAAGTCAGCCTCGGCCAGAAGTTTATTATATCCCACGTAATCAAAGCCCTTTTCCCTCGTCCAGAGCAACGGATACATTGTGGGTCTCTTGATATAGGCGAATAATGCTGGCCAGATCTCGGGATCCGTGTCGACGGGAAGCGAACCGTCGGGCAACAGATCAACGGGCCATCGACCGCTAAGCAAACTGGCGAAGTAATCGCAGTTTTTGAGAATCGACTTTGTGGTGCGATACTTGTGGCCGTCTACATCGAGGGTTATGTGGTCGGTCTCGGGGAGATCGGTGCGGCGAGGGTAGTCGTGTTGTTGAGGGGCATTCGAGTCGTTCGATGCGTCGAGTTCCATGGTGTTGACGTTCGATGTCATAACCGAGGGATGAGTGGGGGAATAAGTACAGTGAGAGACGATTGAGTGGTTGGTGTGATGGGGGCCGATTGATGTGTGAAGTGATGAGAGATGGCAGACCGAGGAAGACGCGTCTCCAAACGCGCCAAGGCTTGCCCCGCTCGTGCTGTCCGCTGCTCCCTCGAGAGGGAATCCCTCCCCACAAATCCAACTCGGGGGGAACTCAACAACCTTTGGGAAACCACACAATGTCCTGCCAACCTTTCGCTAATGACGCGCTGCAACGCGTGCGGTTGGGCTCTCGATTACTTCCATACCGGCACCGATTACGCCAAACACAAACCAGTTCACTTCTGCGACGCCTTCTCTAAAATCCAGATGTCGCTGACACTCCGCGGCTATCACAAGCTGTTCATGTTTGCGGAAATGAGAATATGGCAATACTGTAGTATCTTGTTCTGGGTCGAGCCGGAGTGGATCGCGCATATGCATGACCACGAGCGTGCATAGCATAGGAGGGCAGAGGATTCAGGTGTTGTCAATCGTGATGTGGGTAGATGTCGCGGAAGCGGAATATCAGACATTGTCTCTGTGTCTAATCTCTTGAGCATGGATCGTGCCACCTCTTATCTAGGTACGGCCCTGACCGTTGTCGCCTCTGCCCGCACATCTCTCTCCCCTCACCTCCCACGGCGATATTTCCAAGCTTCTATTTAGCTCTGCCCTCCGGCGCAGCAACACTTGGGGCTACTTATCCGCGCTGCTCTCTAGAACACTGCGTATTGTGACCTCCTCACCGCTGTGCGTCTATATCACGACTCCAGGCAATGCCGCCAAAGACCATTACGGAGGAGATCGACGACGACGCCGACGATGAGATCAACAGTGAGACCCACGACGACACCAACGGCGACATTGAAGACGAAGACGAACTTGGCATGTTCCCTACAAACGATGAGCTTATAGCAATCGCAGAAGAGGATCCCACGTCCGCAGCAGGGCTCGCATACCAGACTCCCTTTGGCGCTTTGCTCTGGCCATTGACCCATCGTCACAACACCCGCGATCGTGTTACACGAGACCTTATTAGCAGTGTTGGTACTTAGGTAGTAGAATCAATCTAAGACTCTTACTCTGCACCATTATCAACTTCCCTGGAAGGTTGAGTTGGCCATGGGTCCAGATCGGCAGGCCCAGAATTCGAAGGCCTGTACCAAATTCAACACTGCATCCTCGTCGTGCTGGGCCCTAGTAATGAGGCGACGATTCCAGTCATCAGAATAGAGAAGAGCAACTACAAGCATGGCCCCCAAGACGTAGCAAGGAAGCACATAGTCTTCAATCATCTCCAGACCGCTCTCTTGTCGCATCTTAAGTTGCCTTATCGTCTACGAACTCTCTCCTATGATCACTCTTAATGTTTCTTGTCGTGGTCACTTTAATATCTCAGTGGTGCAAATCCTGATTCACCACGGAATCCAGACCATTCACTCACTACACTAAGCCAAGACAAACGCACCACACGTTGAGATATATACCCGACCAACTTCAAAACTGCGGCTTCACTTGTCACATAAAACTCCTCCTACCATTTCATCACCCATTCCACTCGCACACCACAGTAACGATGGACGATATCTGGAGCGACACGGAGATGAGCGAGACGTCGTTTACCACCACCGAATCATCACCGCCGCCATCTCCCATCCTGACAGACTACCAAAACAACCTCATCGCCACCTATGCGTTCCACAGCGATAGCATCAGCGACCTCATGAACATTGCCGTCGACCTCGAAATCAGCGTGCGACGCGAGCGCGACGAACCGAGCCTCCCATATCTCACCGAGGACTTGGAAAAGACACGAGGGGAGCTGGTGTTGCACAGGGACGCGAAGCGCAGGATTGAGAGGAACCTGAAGAAGGAGAAGGGGAGGTTGAAGATGGTGGTTGGAAATGGGTCAATCGTGGCGAAGCAGCAGTTGAATGAGATGGCTCGTTATATGGAGGTGGACAAGACGATAGAGTGTCTACGCTGAGAGATCCGTGGGCTATGGCGCGCAAACCTGCATATCTAGAGGAGTCTACGGTGTCTGGTGCAGGGGTGCTTTGAGCTGATTTGACAAACGCGACATGCATCAAGTTGGGTCTAAGACTGAATGAACGCAGTATACAAACCGGTTTATGACTTTCCTTGAATTCTATTGACGCTTGCTCTCATAAGAGCAGTAATGGATGGTCATGTGAAGGGGGTATACTCTTAGTCGTAACCATCGAAACCGGACTAGACGAGCAAACGATGACAAGAAGTGAGATTACGGAAGTGTACAGGGTATTGTTACAAACAGTACAAATACAAAAATTAACAGCACATAACGCAAAATCATGCGACAGCAAGAGTAGCGGCGCTTGGGGTGGTGCGCTTTTGTTAAACGGTCTCCTCCGCGTCTCCATTCGATGCTACGTCAAACCCGAGCATCGGATGCGTCACCTCTCCCCAGCACCACAAGCAGGTTTTGTTCCCAACTTGTCGTCCGCAGGCGCAATGTTCTTTGTGTTCGGCGAATATTGTATCGAGTTTAGACTCTTCCGCCTCGTAACAGCGTAGGCATAGCCAGCGGTCAAGGAATCGATTACGCAAAGTGCACTGACACTGAGAGTCTTGAAGACTGCTTCGGCTATCCGAACGATCTTTTGGGAGACAGTCGTTGCAGAACCATCGTTTCCTTTGCTCTGTTGCTTGGTATAAGGCTCGAAGGACGGGCGAGGGGTGCACGACGTTCGAAGACGCCGATGCGGCCAAGGTGTGACTGCCGAGATCTAACTCTAAGAGCTCTTCGACACACTCTGGTAGACCGAAACTATCTTCTTCAAAAGGAACGTCGATGAAGCCTTGGTCGTGATGTGGTGCACTGGAACCATGCGCGGGACTTTCCCATTCTGGCGCTGGGTGATCACTAGACATGTGATGTGGGCTGAGGATAGGTATCTCAGAGGGCGATAACAAGATAAAGCCGCTAAAGTTGGGCAGCTCATCTTCATCACATGGCGTCTCGTAGATGCTCTGGTAGACGCAGTGGATGCGGCACTCGTCGCAGGTGCTGACTTTACATCTTGAACAGGGTCGACACTCCGTATCGGACTCTTTTGCGCCGCACTTGATGTACTCAGTACAGTCGTAAGCATCGAAGAAGGTCGACTTCTTGTGACGCTTGTTACGGATCCGTACACCCCTGCCAGAACACTTGAGTTTGCCCAGCAAATTCTCCAAGCTACTGGAATGCGGCAGTATCGTCTTGTGCATAGTCTTTGAGCATAGAAGTAGCGCCATGAGGTCGTCTGGGTATAAGCTTGATATGATCATCTCCAGCAAGCCGTATTCGTGAAACACTTCCATGAGAGGACATCGCTGCCTTGACACAGCCAAACTATCCACTCTTGTCTTTTTGCGCGCCTCCATTTGCTCACCGCTCGATCTTTTGCGCTTTGTAGTCTCCATGGTCTCCCATTCGCGATAGTCTTGATCCCAAGTATCTCGTGGTTCTGCTGTCCTAGTGGTGGACACGCGGTGGTCCAGCGATTGAGTAGTCATATCAGCCTTGAGACTCCTAAGAAAGATGAGCAAAGAAGACTAAGGACGTCGGTGCGTCAGTCGAAGTCATCATGGGCCAGCAGATGCACCATGAGAGTACCGGCTCATGAGCACCACCGAGTCCGCGCAATGACGGGAAGCGCATCCCAAGGCGACGTACTTGTCTCTCACGTCGCAACGTGGTTCTAGCCTTCCGCGCCTCTGATAGCGCTTAACAGCTTTCAGTACCTGGATCTGGGTCCATCTTGGCGTTGTGTTGACAATAGTGTGGGGGACGCTCAACAGGCGGGACGAGATGAACAATGGCGTTGTATTACCAACACCTCGCAGCAAAGTGGGGCGTCTATTTCAGAACCAGGGCGATTCAGAAAGAGCATGAGAAACGATGAGGAATTTTTAGTCTCGTCTATTTTGACCATCGTGGACAAACGGGGAGATGCGGGATTGCGTTCCGGTAGCGGCCGACTGACGAATGAGCATCCATGACATAATGATGCCTCGGTCATTGCTTCTTTCCGTCTGCCCTGACCCTTGACTCGACTTCGCGACACTGTTTAGATGTATGCAACACATGCGCAACGCACGCGCAACTCGACTTCGCCACTCCACCACTCCACCACTACTCATCCATCGTCCAGGCATCCGAACCACACTCACGCGTGCTCAAAGCCTCGAGAGGTCGCAACGCTTACCGCTAGCTGGTCAAGAAGTTACATCACGGGTGCTTACGATAGAATGATGGTTCTCTATCGACGATGTTCCGAGCCTCCCCCAGTTCCGTCATTCCGATGCGTAGTCACCACCCTCTTTGGTCCTATCTCCTGGTCGCATTGGCATGACCCTCATTTCTTCTCATCCGGAATGGAGTAGCAGCAACCGATGTCGAGCACATTATAGAAGGTGCAGTCGCGCTGGACGTAGAAGCCACCCTTCTTGTAACAAGTCGATTTGGTAGTGCAGATACCCGAAGGGTCCGATCTGCCGCATGGAGCTGGGTATGGGTCTTTCGGCGCAGCAAGAGCGATAGAAGCGATCGCCGCGATGATGACAAGAACCTTCATCTTAAAGTTTGATGACAGATGATGCGGTTTCGATCAATGGAGGTGTTGGATTTGTGATTTCACAGAGATATGTGTAGGTGAGTGAGTAAGTTGACGGCTTGGTAGAGATGTCGCTTTGGTTATCACGAAACAACTGTTTATATAGACAGCAGCCTCGTATCTGCGGCGCCACTGACATCGTTTTAGAGTGAGAAGCTCATCGAAATGTCCTGTGTCGCAATCCAAATTTAGCTGGGACTATCTGAGCGACCGCGAAATGCCCAAGGTCTGTCCAATCCACGCATCTCTGCGCCCACCAGCCATAACTTTAAGCTTTGCGTATTCGTAGCAGCGATATCGTCATGTTACAATCTGGGCCAATGTGAACCTCCAACCGTGGACGTTGCGATAGCGCTCATATGCCTAAATTGCGTCGCAGCGTTTAGCGAGGGATGCAATCTATCTTCCCCGGATTTCGCATTGCCAGCACTTCTGATAAGTCCCCCACATGCGAGCTAGACATTCTACCATATGAAACGGGCGTACAGTCCTTCCTGGCTCGGATACAAGGCAGATATGACGTCGTCGTAGCATCCAGTACTGAACTCTGTCGCGTCGCGTCGTGGTACCATCGAGGCGGAAGAGCGTATGATCTCATAGAGTACCAAGGCAGTTAAGACGGCACTACCGCTGCCTTGGAAATCTACACCGGGTGCAAGTCCGCAGAATCGCTCCAGCAAACTAATTCACTATGCCCGCTCCAGATCTTTCTGGCACAGCACTTGTGACCCACGGTGGCTACGATTGCAGCCATGTTAGACCATCATTCACAGCGCTACGTCGTTCTTGCGGAACATCCGCACGCTGCTGCGCATCATTGTGGACTTTGCCACGTGATATGGCAATGTAGTCGTCGTAGATTCTTCACGCACACGTGATGCAACGTCTTCTCTAAACGGAAGAGCAACCTTGGAAGTCTCCCCAGAACAATATTGCTAGTCAGTTCATCCAGAAGAGCTCTGAACGAGTCACGTCTCGAACCACTACTCCCTGTTGTTCAATCTGCTGCGTCCAGTTGGCCGGCAATAATGCGATGGCCTCCAACGCCGGTTCCAATGAGATTCGACATGATCCCAGCCTTCGTGGTGTAGTGTGGCGTATTTGACGTCGCAGCGCGTGAGCAGGCAGCGCCACCAGTGGTCTAGGCTTTCTGTATAACCGTTTGAGGTGGCTCGAGGTGACGAGATGCATGTCTCCAGTCGTTCCTAATCCTCCTGACTTCACTGCTAACAGTTAACATCATGTCTTTTGCGGGCCTAGAGCCCCCATCATCAGCGGGGTAGCCCAATGCTGCTACATCTATATCCACGTGTTTCTTCTAGAGCCTGGATCCTTAACTCCATGGGACGAAGCACGGTCTCAATAACCAGCGTTAGGAGACTTCCAAGATGGCTATGGGATGTGCCGCTGTCTTGTACAATAGTCGGCCGCAGTCGCACGAAGATAGTTCGCGTCTTCGACCTCGGCGCGCGATCCCAAGGGCTGATGCGCCCGCTGTCGGGCGCGCTAAGAAATGGCGCATTGCAAGGTTACGTCACGTACGCGCATTCCATCACCAAGTCAGCCTCACACACAGCCTCTACTCACAACACCGGGCGTAGCCGCTTCATGGACGCGATGCTGCGGCTTATAGCAGGGGAACAATCACCACCTTTGCCGGATGCGGACGCGCGATTTAGAATATTCCTGGTCGATCTGCTGGGACAGCGCATTGCATTGCACCCTCAACACCAAAATTTTCATCATCGCAGGCCCGTGTCCAACGCCATGCTCAAAAGGAGCTACACTACGACGCGCTCGGTAAGCTTCTAGAAGGCCAGTAATCGAATCATATAACAGTTCGCTTATCTTTTCCATGCACGGTCGGCGAGTGTTTCCTTCCATGGGGCTTCTAGAAGATAGTTTCTCGGCCTGTTTGTCGGAACGATTAGCTGGCTAGAGCACCACAGCGGTCAACGGCGGCACTTGGCCCTGATTGGCTCACGTCGCCGCCTCAAGTGGGAAGGATCAACCGACCTGCAGCCGCATCTCCACCTTTTGTTTCCAGCATCAGCCGCATCCATTTCCCTACGACATCGTTCTGTATGGACTCTATATCTCTGTGCTTCGTTCAGTCATCGTTTTCTCCCGAAAGACATTCCAGTCCACCCTCCCACAAAGACGCCACCAGTCTGGTGCATGATTCCGATCCATCCGTGTCATGTTGAGATGAGGATTTCCCGTGTCTCGCAAAGGCTGTCTATCTAAACGGGCTAGTACCTTGGCCCCAGAATGGCCATGGCCCCACGGAAAGGAACGCGACGAGCGTGTGACCCTTGTTCTGTCAGTGAGTGTTAGGTGCAGGTCA